CCGGGCCGTGGTATTGTGGATAGCCGCTATTGTGTTGACAGTCCCACCCAGAAAGGGGTGCATAATTACCTATGTTTTCTAGCCTAATCATGTGGAATTGGACCACCGCTGAATTAGTGCTTTATCGAACTGTGGGACCAGAATAGTGAACGGGCTACTTCTGGTTGTTCGAAAATTAATGGGGCATATTGGTAAGGTAAGGCTCAGTAGCGTGTCAAGTGTTTCATCGCGAAGAATTTACATTTATTAAGTGCAAAGAATTCGTATAAGTTTGCTATTTCTTGGTTTATGCATTGAAATGTTTTTGTGCATGTGAAAAACCCGTGAGCTCACCAACTCTTTGTAGTTGACCTTGTTWTTATTCCATGCTTTTCAGGTTCTGAGTAAGTGATTGGTTTTAAAAGAGCATACCTGGGCCAAGATTGATTAAGTCAAGTTTTTGATGTAATTATGAACGTTGTGTATTGTTCTAACTCTCGTTATGTCGATAAATCGTTTTGTTTTGAAACTTGTAATGGTGTTATTTATAAACTGTTGCTATGACCCGCTTGTCTGYTAGCATCCCGTGTTTCCGCTTTAGCGGGGTGTGACAATTAAACCTTTATAGGTTAAAGGTGATATCATTTTTAACTGTTCCTACAATAACCCAATATTTAATTAAAGAAAAGGGTTTTTGCACCAAAAAGTTGTTATTTGGACAGATATACAGATTCTGTTCCTGGACTCTTGGTTTTACCAATCATTATCAAGGGAACCTTCCAAAAATCATTTTATTTTTAATCTTTAAAACTACAATAGTCACTGTCATTACATTTCTTTTGTCTAACAACATTATATTAAACATTTAAATGCCCCAAAACTCGATATCCTTGAGTGAGACCCGAAATAGTTAAACAACAACAAATCAAATAAACTCCAACATAAATCAAATATTTTGGGTTGATTTTTAAAGCATACAGTCGACGGGGATTGTTAGAAACAATCTATCAGTTTCGAAATGCCATTTTTATTGATTAAATACTACATGCAATGTAGTTTTATCCCATTTTCTTGAGTCCTAAGTTCATATATCATAGATTATCATCGTTTTGGGAACATTTTCATGTCTTGATGAAATAATCTCCCATCTTAGATTCTCTAGAAAATTTTGAACTCAAGAAGGAGCAAGAAGTATAAATATATCAGGGTCATTGCTGTTAAAAGATTCAAAAATAAATCAATCGTATTACCTTTCAGCTTGATTTTTCTTGAAGACTTGAGTGTTCTTCAAGATTTAGAGAATCAAGAAGGATTTTTGGAACTTGAGTTTGGCTAGAGGAAAATGAAAGTTTTTAGAGAGAGAGGGAAAAAGGGAAAAGTGAAGGTGAAATGAATGATTTTCAAAAGAGGTGGAGTTTTTATATGAAGATAGAGGGCCCGGCCCATACAAGGCCCAACCACCATATTTTTATCTTTATTTTTCTTATACAAACTCAACTCAATTTAATTACATTTTATCAAATACCAATAAAATTATTCATTATTAAATCAAAATTCCAAATTTTGTAAAAATTATTTGTACATACAGTTGAAACTTTATATTTTTAAATTTAAATTTTATAAAATCGACTTTATTTATTTTAAGAGAAAATTTTAATATATTTGGCATTACATAGGTTACTTCTATCGGTTACCCGTTGAGGCAGGGTTTTCTGAACTATAATTTGGGAGCTAAGTCGATTGATTTTTTCATCAACGTGACTAATCCCTAACAAATTAAAATCCTGATTATAGGAACCTCTTAAAAATGCTAACCTGACGCTCCAAAAGTGACAGATGTCACAGAATATCATGAAAGGGGATTATTGAGAGGATATAAGGTTGGTCGTTGTTTGCTTGGCTTAACTCTTATTATGATATCTATTAAGGTTACAACAGATTGAAGTTCTCATTTCTTGGTGATTTGAGAATTTAGAGATGTTGTCTTTAGTAGAAATGATAATAATGATTTTATGTGATTGGAGAAGATATGGCTCATGACCGTTGGTTATAAATAAAATGCTTTGATAAAAACATTGATTATGAGGAAACAGAGGAGCTCTGGTTATACATCGCAAGGAACCAGAGGGGCTCTGACTGACCCTCATAATGGAACCAGAGGATTCTGGATAATAATTTGAAAATGATGCAAATCTTTTATAAATCATGAGTTTAAAAATAAGTTTTATCAAACTTAGTGATATATTTATAATTTTAAAAATATTATTTCCAAAAGTCATTATACATAGAAATCTTTTATAAAATAGACCAGAGGGGCCCTGGTTGGCCTTCATAGATACAACCAGAAACTCTTGCTGGTCTTTGGGTAGGAGCTACAATCTCTAGTTAGTACAACCAGAGACTCTGGTCCTTCATGGGAGCTCTAGTTCTCTAAATCAAAATATTTGCTAAAGGACCCTGTGGAACCAGAGGCCAATGGACCCTGTGGAACCAGAGGCCGATGGACCCTATGGAACCAGAGGCCGATGGACATTGTGGAACCAGAGGCCGATGGACTGGAAATCCATTATTTATTTTTAATCAGGATCTAATTCTCTTATTATTCTTCTTTATGTTGAGAGATTCTTTGGTAAATGTTTTGGTGATCTCACCCTGCATAGCATGAAAAAGAGAAATCTCACTAGACTTTTGTCTAACCCTCGTTTTATGTTTTAAAACATGTGTGCAGGTAATACCAATCATAATATTAATAAGGGAAAAAATAGTCTATGATTACTTCCCTTATATGCTTAAATATTGAAGACCATGTTCTGATTTGTTTTGGAAGATAGCAATGATAGTTTACAAATGCATGTATTTTTGAATTTTTAAGTTATGTAATTTGTATCGTAAACCGGTGGCACACACTCTTGTAATTTTGGAGCTATGTGGAAATCTATGTATTCTATGAATATATTCTATGTAATATGCAATGTATGGAGATTGGGGGTGTTACAGATTGGTATCAGAGCCTAAATTTAAGAGATTTAGGTGATCATTTGCATGATGATGCCTAGACTTAAACTATTTCATGGCATATTAGGGTCCTAGACATAGTTAGCACCATTGGAATAAATATGATAAGTTAAAAGATCAGTGTGTAAGGTATATTCGGATTTTATCTGGCCAATGTAATTTTGAATCTACAGGTACATATCTGAACTTGGACACTTTATTGTATTGTGAACGTGAAAATGTGTTATTTAATCATGAAATCTACAGATGACAAGTTGATCCAGAAGATCACAAAGACTAGCCATCCTAGTGAGGCAGAAAATTCTCCCATTGAAGCCCCTATTAATACCTCACGAGGTAGAGGCAGAGGAAGAGGGAGAAATCAAATGAGGGAATGAAATTATCAATCAGAAGGCTATGTTGATTAGGAAGAATCTAACTTTGGGATAATAATCCAGAGCCAGCACCACAGCCAGAATTTGTAACCAGTGATATGTTGGCTGAAGAAATGGTAAGTTAAGGGAAACCTTAACATCGATTTTGAGGATGCCTACGAGGGTGGAAATAGAGCAAGTAGAGATAAATTCTTCTATACCAACACCAAACATCAGAGGAGTGGATATTAAAATTTTTCTTGCATGCAAACCACCAACTTTTTCGGGTGAGCGAGATCCAACCAAAGCTATGTGTTGGATAAAAGATATTGAATCAATATTCAATATCATACGATTTCCAGAAGCCGACAAAGTCAGATTTGTTGTATCGGTTCTAAAGTCTAATAGCTTTGTGTAATATTCGGGTTTCAAGTTTTGATTTAAGATTTTCTTTAACATATATATATATATATATATATATATATACTAGTTGTGTACCCGCGCAATGCAGCGGGAGCCGTGAATTTTAACGATTTTAAAGTTTTACTGGTTTTATTAGAGAAGATTTAATGATGATATAAGTTACACTTGCTTTTTACATAWTAATACAATKTRAATAAATAAGAGTTATGATTCCAATTACAGTCTATCGATGAAAAAAATTATATGACAATTTAAAATCTAATATATTTAAAATCCAACATACTTAAACGACTCCATAAATGTGTTCGATTTACACCAAGAGCAAAGAATGAAGGTATGAGTGAAAGGACATAAATATAAACTAATATCAGCAAGAGCAGCACCAGCACTAGGACCATAACCAGATACAATATTTAGCACACCAGGAGGAAGTCCTGCCTGTTGAATGCATACAACATAGAATTAAGGTTATCCTTCAAAATGTAAAAAGGGAGAGAGAGAGAGAAGCGAAGGAAGTTGGGCAAATTTGAGTGTTACAAATCTTTATATTACCTCAAGGAAAAGCTTTGAAACATAGAGGGCAGATAATAGTATCTTTTCAGCAGTTTTAAGTACTACAGTGTTACCACAAGCCAATGCAGGCCCAACCTTCCAAGCATACATCAGAAGAGGGAAGTTCCATGGTATAATTTGCCCTGCAACACCAATGGGGTTCATGCAGGGTCTGAAATGATGCAGACCGTCAGCCTGAATTGTGAGGCCATGGATTTTGTCGGCCCAGCCTATGAAATGGTAACAACAACACCAAGATGGTCAACTCTTTTTAAAGGAAAARGTATAAATGAACTCAAAGACATAAAGAGTATCATTTAGAATGAACTTCGGGCTAAGTAGTGATCTTATTAAGCTAAAATTTTGTATATAAGTGAGATCATTGGGGTTCATTGTAATCATTAATATACTTAGTAGTCAATTTTTTTACTTATAAGTTATAATCATTTGGAGGTAATTTATATAATTAAATTGAGTTCCCCCTTGACCAATATTTCTGCATCCACCACTACTTACCAGCATAATACCGGAAAAGACGAATGAGCAGGGGTATTTCATCTGCTGCTGCCTGATCATATGGCTTCCCATTATCCCAAACTTCAAGAGCTGTTATTTCATCAGCATGCTTCTCAAGCAAATCAGCAAAGYGCAACATTATTCTAGATCTTTYYWGGTGACATATATGAAAAATGAATAAGATGCTGATACTACCACTTAATTTGTTGGCTCTTTCTGACSGAAGGATATCRTTGATTTCTCAACATTTAACCTCCTTCAGCCCCACACCRAAGTACAAAAATGTYGGGTCAGCAGCACCATCTTTGTAGTAAGCGAACACTGTTGTACTGTCATCATGCATGCTCTCCCCAACAAAACTGCATAACCACCGATGTTTCCACAAAATCAGTACAAATATATGGAAGAAWYATTCAACATTACCATTAAAATTGACCAAGTGACAGTCATTGTAGGAGTTCTAACCTCATCAAAGGTAAAAAGTGTAAGTGATCATTTCTTGTATATGAATATTATATACTTCAAAAAATGGACCTAAGTGCACATTCTTCACCTTCAAGCTAAAAGTCTAATAAAAAAARCGAAGACSAAGTCTAATAGTAACATTGGTCATTGTGGTCATTGTCACTTACACTTACATTGCTGATTGAATGTCAAGTTGAAAGACTTGATGGCTGAGCAAATATGTACAAACCTAACCATGCACTTCTTTGGCCAAGATAAATGTTGAAAATATGTTCTACTTTCATCTACTTTAAAAGAGCCCTAAATAAGTCAGGAATCTTGTGGATGGAGAAAGAAAAAACAAGGTCTAACAAGATCCTTCTTTGGGTAACCACTTCCAATCACTGCTCTGCACTCGTAACTACAGAAAGATTATTGTAATAATACTTTCTACTTTTCTGTTTCTCAAGTAGTATGATAATTAGAACCTAATCCTAATTCCCCAATTCACAAATAAAGATCTAGCCTTTTTTCATGTAATACGGCCAGCCGACAGAATGACAAACAAAAAAGGCTTCCATTCATATGCAAAGAAACGGATGAACAAGAGACTTACAACTGAAGGTCACTGAGCTTTGAGAGGAGATACTTGGTTGCTACCTCAATGTTTTCCTTAAAGAACTCTTGCTTCTCTGCATCAAGCTTGGGAGTAAGTTGTTTGGTGTACCTCTCGATGTAAGTAACAAACTGCTTCTTGTCGAAAGGAAGTTGCTCCTACACATCATGTGTTTTCAAATGGTCAAATAAATGGAATTCTCAAAGTTTATTAGCATACCAGAATACTTTTTACCCGGAGTCTAAGGGTATCAACAATGTCGACGACCTTCACTGCTTGATCATCAACACCCTCGTTTTCATCACCTCCTTCAGCAGAAGGGTTTGCACCAATGTTAACATCCACTGCTCCTTGTACCACCCACTGCAGACAGGAGTTTTCATATTACAAGTTAGTAACATGTGATTAATCTATAGTTTACTCACAGCTTCCACATCAAAGATCTACAAAATGAATGATGGTACAAAATGAAAATGCCAGAAATTCGAAGACCATAACCCTAATTATTGAACAAGAATACCGCATCCAAAGTCTCAAAGATATCCATATACATAATAAATGGACTAATGTTGGAATTACCTGCTTGAAAATGGTACTTGTACCAGTCCCTCCAATTGGCTTCAATTCTCTGTTTCTTTTCATCATTTCTTTCTGTTCTTTTACCATTCTACAACCAATCAAGAACCATAGAACCTTAGAACATGATGTCAATTGGACATTTTCCTGAACTTCGTATACGTGGTGGCATGGTAGTTAGATAATGGAGACCAAAATAGCAAAGTTCATTACTTTTTTGCTTAATTACAATGCTAAAAAAGAGATTAAGTTAAAAGATCCACGAACAAACCTCAATAGTTAGATCCACCTAAGCTTTGATGAAAAACCAAAACCATAGAACCCGTCATTTTGCACATGGTAAGTGTCATTAGCAAAATACTGTTAATAGCTTGTACACGAAAATAAATCAGATAGTAGTCCAACATATTAAGTGTAAAACTGCATCTATAAACTGTTATGGAGATATAAACTGCATCTATATACAGCATCCATCTGATCAGACAAACAGACTCACAAAAAATAGAATTGAAAGAGGATAATACCTTATTGCAGTCAGGAACAAGTTCTTGAAGCAATTTCATTCTCTCACTAATCCTTTCTCTCCTAACCTAAATGGAATGGATGAAATCAAATCCCTATGAATTTGATCATTCTAATGTAGGATCTATTATGAAGTAAGTAAGAGCACTATTAGTCCACATGATAACATATCCTTGGAAGTGTTTTTGTCATGTGGTTTTGATCTGATTTGAACATGGAAGTTAGTTAAACAAATGATGAGCATTTGCTATGTTCTTATCACAATCACCAACCTAGCTCAATGTGAATCATGCATCAATAACTGAGTGCTAAGCATGTGCTTGCAATAGCAATTCTTTAAGTCAACAAAGCTTTTCTTGATAGAAAGGTTTTTATTTTTATATATCATTAAGATCAAGATTTCCCTAATTAATTTTCTTTCTACCTTATGCATGCTTTCCCTCCACAACAATAATTCATCAATTTAGAGCAATGATGCTATACTGTTTGTATTTCACCTTTGCCAAAACTTATAATATATATATATATACACATATGTGTGTGTGTGTGTGTGCTTCTTATCCCCCCACACCAAATATTCCAATGTCCTTATTTTTTGTTGGGTGGGTTAAATATGGAAAATTTTGAAGTACCTGCAAGCACACAAAACTATTTCAACAGTCGGCATGGCAGCTGGTGGCCTCACAAACGATTCCTGATAAGATGTATCACATTGATATGAGCATTTGGGCCTTGCTATTCCCTCCAATTGGCTTCAAGAATAGACAAACCTGCAACCGAACCTGCTAAAATTCTGCTCCATCATCACCTTTAGCAAAGTCATATATGTGAAATAGATACATTGGGATCAAATATTTGTACAGAAGTAGATAAATTTATTTTACTCTATGCTTGAACTCAGGAATATAAACCTTTTTCAACTAAAAACATGTATAGACAAGAAAACCTTTATCATTTATTACACAGTAAATCCTCCAAAAAGTAAACCAATCTGGCAAGCCTCCTCTTTCACTATCAAGTCCTTCTCGGATACAAGCTGCTGCACATATCTGAACTACTTACTACAAAGAAAGTTCCATAGGAATGAATTAATGGAAAGTAAGCAAGTGCAAGCAAAATGAGAATTGAAGAAAGGAAAGCAATATTATCATCTTTGATGACAGTTAAAACCAATGAATCTTTTGGCTTGAAGCAACTTGATTTTCATCCATATAACTGCAACTTTCATCATCTTGGAGACAGAGAAGTTCATTTTTTTTTATAATATTTGTATTTTCATCATCTGTAGGCCCAATGCTGCCCATTCTGGCTTACCATAGTTTTTAGCGGCAACTTTCAAGCTACTTTGCATATACTAGAAGCACAACACTTATCATGTAAACATTTGATGCTACAGCCTACAAACAAACACAAGAAAGAAAAACTTTACACACACACATATATATATACACCTTGTCATAACACTGGAAGGCTCCAGTTCCGGTGAATTTCCATATTCCGTCTTTCACTGAAAAGATGGGTATCCAAGTTCTCTGGCTCGACCCATTCCAACTTGAATTTCCTATATAAACATAGAATCCCTACATGCCAAATTGAAATATATAATAGCCAAAAATAAATCATCATGCACCCTGTATATGCTTGTATCCCACAAACAACTCAAGTTTAGAATATTTGGGCACTTGAAATCTGAAGTTCAAAAACAAGGGGTCGTTTACTAAACGGTTACCCCGTAAGTGTTTACTGGGTAATTTTTCTTACTGCATGAACATGGTAAGGGTCAAAAGTCATACTCGGTAAGCGAGGGTGACAACTCTTACCCGGTAAGCACTTACCAGGTAAATTGTTGATATGATACCATTTTGATGTACTACAATCTTACCCGGTAAAATAAGTTACAATGTTGACTCCTAAAGGTAAGTGCTCAAAAAAACTCATAATCGATTCTGTTTCCAGGATTTTGCCCGTAAGATGGTGCCCCAGACATACCAGTTGGTGCAGGACACCAGCAACCCTCGCTTGAAGGAGGGAGGTTTAGACATTTGTTGTGGTCCTTGTGGAGAAATGGTGCAAATTTTAGTTTGAAAGATGGAGAACTAAAGATGTTATACCAGAATGAAGAGATCAAATTTGAGGAGAGCATAAGTTGTCCAGCAGCAACCATTCAAGAAAGCAGCCAACAAAAGTCAGAATGGTATGTATTCAACACTCTTGAAACTGATTACTTTCCACTGTTGATTTTGATAAAGAAACAGGAAACAATAAAATCAATCACCAATGTTCCTTCAGAAACATCTTTTTATGAGATGGGAATCAAAAGAATTTTATGAGAAATTGAGAATGGGTTAATAATAAAGAACACATACCAGGATAGTTAGAGGAGAACCATACATGATGATACCAAACACAACACAGAAGATTCTAACAAAATTGGATCTGCTAGCATGGGTATGGAAAAATCCCACATCAAAACCTGCAATAGCACCAAGGCCAACAAGCTCGATAGCTAACCATGTTATGATCTTCTTCTGTAGGTAGGCAATAGACAAAGAAGAACACCAAAATTCATTAGATATATATGTATAATATGGACTGGCAAATGATCAGAAACCAGAATGTGATAAAATCTCATAATACCCTATGTTTTCTTTTCCCTTTTTCTTGGAAATATATATATATAAAAGAGTATACAGAAGAAACAAACATACACCAGTTTCACACAAAATTGAACATGACAAAATATAAAAAGGAAGCAAACATACACTTCGTCCCCTGCCTAAGCTCTCCCATCATCTCTGAGTTTGATTTAAAATTTATGGTTTGTTGAGTTTGATTATTGCTTTGGCTTCATAAAAACAGACAAAATCAAGAAATGGAAATACCATTAATTCTATATAAATCGAGATAMATCAAAAGCATTATGTTGAACACAAAACAAGAAATACAATGATACAACCCTAACATCGATCATTGGTATGGTCGAT